CCGCCTTCCTCTGTCAGAAAGGTGAACGTGAAACACTCCATCTTATTTTCAGGCGAAAACGACAGTCAGCTTTCATCTCCTCCGATTTTGGTTAGCGCTTTGCCGATTGTTTCTCAACAAACAAATGTGCTTGCTGCTCTTATGGTGAGTCATTCTTTCGTCATTCTTGATAAGCAGAATATTCTTCTTTCGATTGAAACATCTTGTAGCATGTTCAAAATACTATTGTATGTTCAGAATAACCTCCTCCTTCATCATGCTGGGATCGATCTGGAAACCTTATATGCTTATGGAGAAGTGGAATTCGTTACGTTCCTCAGCGCAGTGTTAGTTGATCTACATAGCTTTTCTTGAATAAAAAGTAGTTAAAGGGAAACCTGCAGCAGAAAAGGCGGCTGTGCAATTCGGAACTACTGAAAATAGCTTGCCCCAATAACTGAGCCCTCACGAGTAAACGAATAGTTGTCGTTGGTTTGCTGACTTACGGTTTCTCTCGGCAGTCACTCGATTCTCGCTGAGCGAGAGCAGCTCGTGACTCAGGCTGCTTCCATCTTCGCGATTACAAGCGATTCAGTCGATAATAGTTTGACCGCAGCAGAGAAGTGTATCACATCGGCTGTGCTTGACATCGCAGCAGCTTTACCGTGCAACGCGCTTTTGTGCGAATTGCAAGTGTGGAGTGGATCAGAGAGAGTGGATCGTCCAATTCACTAAGTATGAACGCGATTCTCGTAAAAATTGTAAGTTTGTATCCATGCCGAAAACACAGCAGTTGAAAAGTAGAGCAACAGCATTTCCTCCTGACAGTACGCTGCCGATATCGGCTATACGCATAGTGCAGATTACTCGTGTGAGTATTGGGGCCTAGACGTTGAGGAATGCCCGGCGTTGAAGGACGGTGAGTTTTTGGCTCAAATGGCGAGAAGAGGAATGACTCAGATGTAAAGAAAGATGCAGAAAGAAACCCACTAAGCGGGCTTGTACGCGCAAATGGCGAACAAAGAGCTTGTTCGGACGACTTCTCACCCTTAGAAATCAAAGTTGGGCGTTCGCGGTGACCAGTGGGCGGGGCGGTGGCCTCATCGCGAGCAAGTCGCGCTTTCCTCAGTATTTTTGAAGTGCGAAATAGTCCATCTTCCATGCTTGCGAACAGGACTTCCATGTCCAAGAAGGCGTCTGAACAACAAAAGAGCGTGGAACGTGCCCTATTGTACGGCCTTCTACAATCCAGTTCCCTGGGTTTTTTGGCTATTTCCCTCACTCGAACCCGAACGCATAGTAATGTGAACGCTTTGACCAATTTTTTCCACAGTATTAGAAAACAGACAAGGCAGTAGCATGGGAAAGCGAAGATTTGGTGGGTACGCAGGGGATGTGGCAAGAGGAGCGTACCGGAGCTTACCTTGTCATATCGGGGGAAATTCTGGACGAACTTCTTGAGCATTTGAGTACGTTTCGTTACAACCACATTTGGGCTAAATATCGTTCAACGTTCAGGAATCGCTGGCAGTGAGTGCTCTGGGGGTTGAGTCACCCAAAATTCTTTTTATCTCGCTGCCCGTTATCGCCTTACTTCAGTTTGGTACTCCTAACCTCCTGACGGGTTATATTTTGGAGGCTCTCTGCTAAAGGTCAGATCAGTATGCGGCTATTTTCAGCACCCTTTCGCACCTTTTGGCATCGACTGATCCACGTCTGATGTTCATGTCGCATGCTCATCGTCGATACTCTGCATTATTTTTCAAATTGTTCAATGTTGAGTGAGTGGTTTTTTAAAATTAAGGTCTCTGATAATGTAACAGCCAGTTTATATCAGTCGGATCGCCCAGCTGTCGCCTGGCTTCGCCACGTTCATTTTGTGAGCGAGTTAAAAAGTGAAAAATGTGTCAAATAGACATAGGGCGTTTTGAACCTGAAATGCACATAGAAAACTTGGAAACAGCTTTATATCACTCATCTCTTACACACATCGAATCCCTACTGCTGATTACCGCCTTTCAACTGTGTCCTTTCCAAGAAGACTGTACAATTCGGCAGTGAAAATGCACCACATGGGGAACTTGAAGCTCACTTTGGCAGCATGTCCTCCCTTTGAGCTCTTATTGATTGCGACGAAACCCTCCTAACAATTCATCTTTATTTTAGGCAGCGCAACGTATGATTTTCCCTTTTCAGACGCACCATTGGCCCTCCCCCCCTCTGCCTCCTCGAGTTCAGCATCTAGCGTCACCCATGATAACAGATGGTAACAGATGGCACTGACTCCTTTCATATGTCACCGGATGAGGGCATAAGGGAACAGTTAACATTAAGCACTGAGCTGCTTGCCTGTAATACTTAAGCTACAGAGGCAGCAGTATAGACTTAAGAAATGTAGTAAAGGCAACTTTTTATCAGTACTTATCAAGTGATATCATTATTGTCACCCGTCGCCAAGGTCCTGCTGAACCTCCGAATTTTGGCGATGTGAAACCAATACCGCCTCAGAGAGGGACGACGGCGTCAGTGCTCGTTATCAGTTCCTATCAGCCGTTATCACTAGCTGTCACTCACCATGAGTGCCCCAGCCTCACACCCTCACATCGCATGTTGGCATTGACTTCCCACTGTTACTGCGACCCGCGCTATGCATTTGACGACTTTCCTCTTCTACAGAGTAATACGAGCTACATGATACAGTCATATCACTTGCTCGCTTTAACAACTGGTGGAGAACGGGTTTGGCACCGCGCCAAATTCATCCCGCCTGACACGCCCAACCTTCCGCAGCGAACTACACTATACAGCGGACACACAAATTACTAGTTTATAGAATAGAAGGATTTCGAGTGATTCTATCAAAGCATATCTGGCCGCGTGATTGGATATTTCTTTCTAGGTTGTTGCGAGTGGACGGCTTTTCACGACACAGTTTTGCTCCTCCTATCAGTATGCCAAAGCCAATGCCTCACGAAAAGAAGCTTAAAGAAGTGCGTATCTCTCATGTTGGACTACTGCCAAGTACAGTCGTGAGGGAGCCACTGTAGACATTTCCATTTTTAGTTGAATCTTATCAATGGCCTGTTTTACGCCGTGGGGATCCGGCCAAATCGTTCCTTAACCTTGGATTCTGTCCAAGTTGGAGCGCCGAATCCTGGAGGTGAAGAACTCGATTCGCGTTGTCTGTTGACTTTCGCTTACTGGATGCATCTGATTGGAAAACAGTCGGCGTCTAAGAAGACGGCTAAAGTCTTGGAGAGTTCTGTGGTGGGGGGGTGTAGGGGGTGGGAATTGCGTATAAATGTTGCGACGGCTGTATTCAGGCTTAGGTAGCCGACTTCATTTATTGCGAGACATATCGTCCAGAGTTCGTCTTTTTTGTTCGGGTTTCCAAAAAGCTTTTCTCGTTGTGGACAAAGACTGCCGGATAGGTGAACTTTCAACTATTGCACTGGAGAAAGCCTTTCTGGCCGTGAGAGAGGAACTCCAAAATCTCAAGAGCTTCGAAAATTACAAAGAAAGCATAATAGCGAAGAGAAGTGCTTAACTTGTCAATTTCTCGCACTGCTCGGCTCAGAACGACCCCATTGCCCCATCGTGCTGTTGTGCATCACGACAAGACTAAAAGAAGTCGTCCACTTGAAGTCTCATTTGTTTTCAAGAGGCACAGGTCATGATGGTGTTTTTTCGGCCTTCAACTTTTGTTGTTTTGTTCCTTCTAATCATATATTGACTCGTTCTGAGAACAAATTTCTGTACAGAGTGGTGGGCACTAAATTCAGGGTATGGCGCGGGAGATTCACGTTTTAGCGATGCGGCGAGTGCATCTGTTTCTATGATGTCTCGTGCGCGGCATTCGCACCAGAACCTAATTAGTTTAACATGGAAGTTGTGCAGTTTGTTGAGTCGGCGAGTCGACTGGGTCAAGGCACAACTTCTAGTTGCATTCTATCGCCGCAGCGTGAATCTCCCTTACCGAAAGAGCTTCAAGCCGTTTTAAGAGTTACCGTTCAACAAAATGGTGTTTGGATGTCGCAACCAAATATATGGGCTCAGCTATAACGTCACGTATGCGTCTTAGAGGGGGGGGGGTCGAAGGGCATCACCGCTAGTTTCCTACTTTTCACAGTTCCCTCACCTTGATGGGACCTATGAACTCTCGTGAAGCTGCAAACTGGTATGGACTCCATTACTTTTGGCAGTATCACCTTTACAAACAGTTACCGGTGTCCACATCTAGGAGAACTCGCAAAACAACCCCTCGAACGCGAACGGTGTCCAAGCAGCTGTACTTCAGCTAGTTGGCCTTTACCAGGGAAGATATCTTGTCGAGAGAGCCATAATCTCGCTCAGCAAGACGGCTTGGCTAGCGAAGGCGAAGTTCACGGTGGTGTTCAGTTATGCAGAACGATGGAGGGTATCAGGAAGCAGCCGACTTTTATTGTTTGGAGACATTCCAATAGTCTTTCGCAAATTTTTCGGGGGGCGAAACGGTGTTTGGTCGTCACCCTAAGAGTTTGGAAACATAGGACGCCTAGTTAGCCTCTAATTTAATCGAGCCGCGGATCGTAAATTTGGTTGCGACGCCTCCGGCCATTTTCAGTTCTCAGTCCAGTTCCATTTTCCAGAACATTTTTTCAGTTAGCAGTTGCGAAAGTCAGTAACTGTTTGTTTCGTGCATTTTCGAAAGTTTTAAGTCTGTACATATGTTGGTATTCCTTATGAATTGTTTCTACGAATTGTTTC